AAGGGCGAGGGGGACCCCCCCCCCTTCCCCGTGCCCCTGCTTACGGCAGCCGCCAAGGAAGTCGGGGCCGAACTAGTCATCACGCGGAGGTCCCTAGTCGGCAACAGACACGCGGACAGCACGGGCATCACTCTCGCGATGGCGGGACCGAGCGCGCACGTTCAGATTAAAGAGCTGGTCCACGACAGAGCCGACTCCGAAGAGGGCCAGAGCACGACCCCCACCGTTCTGGTCGCAGACGCCGGCGCATCCCAGATACAAGCCGCGCTGGCGGCGGCTGGCTCGGGCGGCGGTCCATGCAGGATCCTCGCCTTAACTGCGCACGGAGTCCCGACCCCAGGAGGCCCGGGCCCGATCGAACTGACTGCCAGAGCCAACGCACAGTGGGGGTACCGGGCAGCCGGCCTGATCACGCACCTGGTGCCCATAGGGAGCCCCGTGCGAACGGGAAGGATGACCCCCCCCTCAGGCAGCTGGTAGCGGCACAGTTTCACATAACTGACAACCCCCAGAGAACACAGATTCCGTCATCCATCGTGGTCTACTGGGGGGGCAGAGACGCAGATATCAGTGACGCATTGCACATGCTCACACCAGAGCATCGCAATGATGCCATCGTGGCCCAGATACCCAGGCGGCAGCAGGTCCTAGAAGGGGGCGAGCACTCAGCAGTGGAGGTAGAATGGGCCACCACCAAGGGACCCCTCCCCAGGGACGAGACCCTCCTCAAAGAGGGGCTGGAGCCACTCTTCCACCACGTCGCGTGATGTCGATCTGACAGGCGGACAGGAATGAAGGCCCCCGACGATGAACCCCTCGAGGAGCTTCAGCTCGCGGCGCAGACTGCTCTGGTCACAAACATCAACGTATGTACATGGAGGTCCAAAGAATCATCGGACTCCGCACGCATCCCTATTCCAGGTGCTGCCACGCGTCTGGCCCTATCCGTCGCCGCGGATGCAGCAGCAGCCTTCGGATACAGAGTGGGCCTCAACGGGGGAGGCCTTCTCCTCCTGAAGACCCCAGAGAGGATTGCAGCCCCGATACTGCGGCGCCTCAGGGAGGAGCTCCCCAGGATGTTCGGGCCCCCGCGCAATTCCCCCGCCCTCAGCCCCCGAAGAATCCTCGTGGAAGGCAGCTGGGACGGCGGCCCTTCGTTCGCCAGGCTGGCTGACCCCGAAGACGGCTTCCACCATGCAGACCTAGGACAATCCAGGCAGCGGGACGTGATAGAGGCCGCGGAAGCCACCATGGGCTCCGGAGCGGTGGAGCAGGCAACCACTGTGCACGCCTGGTTCCCCGACACAGGTGACTACAGGCACGTGGCCCAGGTGGGAATCAGACTCAACGCGGCCGCCACCATGTCAGCAGCCTTCTGCGGGACACGCTGCATGACAGTGGGACCACAGGTCGTCAGGATCTTCCCGGCCACTCCTTCGAGGGAGCAGACCAGAAGGAACGGCGGGGCCCCAATCGCGCAGATAGAACACATTGAAGCTCTGGCGCAGGAAGCTGTGCGACAGGCCCCCAGAAGAGCTGCCCAGTCGCAGATACTAGAAGTCACGGCCTTCGACCGACGAGGTGGGCAAGTTGGCCCCCCCCGTGTCAGGCCAATGCGCCCTGGCCCCTGGATGCCACAACACGCAATTATGCGGATATTTCCAGCCTCGATAGGTTCATCCGGGGCGAGACTGCACACAAGAGCCTGGCCGCTGCCCGCAGGGTCGGATGGTAGGGAGCCAACGGCCAACGCACGCCCCCCCCCCCCCCCCCCCCCCGTCATTCCCGAGGGGCGGCTGCGCGAAGTAGACAGAGTCATGGACGGCCGGAGTGCGACCTGCCGCTGACCCTCGGAGGATAGGGAGGGCCTGCGAGACTACAGCACCATACTCCACCCAGGGGAGCACCTCACCGCGGCGATAGCTGCGGGAGGGGTGGCATGCATCACCACCAGCGGAGAAAGTGGCCACCTATACACCTCAAACCCCATGTGGGTCACCATTGCGCCACCCGCCGAAGCCGACCGGAGAGCTGCCAACCGAGGCGCCGACCGTCCGCAGGCCAGGGTATCCCTGCAGCTGGCGCACGGCCCAGTGCACCTCGCCAAGCTGGATGCAGCCCCCGCCCGCGCCCCGGCGCCAGAGGACCTGGGGGTCGACGCCAGCCAACCCTCCAGTGCAGCCCTGCCTCCAAGAAGACGGGCGGCCGTGGGCTCCCTCCCAGGCCCAGCCCGCCCAAGAATGCCCCCCCCTAGCAGAGGTGCTCGCGCATAGGAGTCGGGCAAGCTCAGAGCCAGGAGTCGCTCTAGTAAGGGCGGAAAGCGACGCGGTTCGATGCGCCCGGGGCATGCTCGGGAGATTCCTGGCCTGCGTCGGAGAGCAGTGCATCCACGATATGGCCAGAGGCATCCAGACCAGGCTCGCGCTGGAACAGCGACGACAGGAGGAGGGCAGACCCATCCTGAGGCGCAACTGGGACCTCTTCGCCGCCATATGGATCCTCCAGCTGGCCGATCCCAGCAGCCTGGACAGGGACCACGTATTCCAGCTCATCAATGAGTTAGGGATAAAGGAAGAGGTCACCAGACAGCTCCCCTTCACGCAGTGGCTCTCTCCCGAACCCGACCCCACCTACACTGCGCACCACCCTTGGCTCGAAGTTCCTGGGAGCAGGGGCGCTGAGATCGACGGTGCCACCGCGCGCGGGCTGACCCCAGGCGCAGACGAGAGGCTCAACGCCCTTGGCGAAAGGCTAAGGAGCGCCGCGCAGGAGGATAGGCGCCGACACGACCCGGGAAGAGCCCCCAGACCGCGAGGAGCACCCAGGGGCCAGCGCGGCGGCCCATTAGGCGGCAGTGGGGCACGCCCCACGCAGGGTGAACAGGCTCAGGGCGGGCGCAGCAGGACCCCGGACAGCTGGGCAGCGCGCTGCAGACAGGAACCCGCGGACCCCGGGCCGCCCCACCCCACGGCCCCAGCCAGCACCCCCTCTTGTTGCGCAGCCGCCCCCACCGCAGCGGCAGCCCCCGCGTGGACAGACCACCAGCCCCGCGGTACAAGGCCAGCAACTCGGCGGCAACGAGCGAAGCAGCGGCGACAACCCCCCGCCGGTGATACCCCCAGGAGGCGCAGGCACAGGCAGCAACCCTTCTACGCGAGCAGAGGACAGCTCCAACCAGGGCAGAGAAGCAGGACCGACCGACGGAAGCGGGAGCGGCTCGCAGTCCCCGCCGCCACAGCCCCCTGGCAGGCGCGGGGGCAAACGGCCGGCCCAGACAACGCTCGCCTAGCGGCCCACAGGCCGCCCCTGCCCACGGGACCCCCCCCAGCCTGGAGACCGCGTTACTGATACTTCCCGAGCGCTGGCATCCCAAGCGGATCGCGACAGACAGAGGACCGAGGGAGACGAACGCACGCAAACGCCGAACCTGGAGCCAGGGGACGCCCCGCAGGCAGCGCAGGCCCGCCCAGACGGCGAGCCTGGGAGAAGGCCACCACCAGACAGCGTCCCCCGAAGCACATCCAGCGACCCGCTCGGAAGGGGTGACTCCCCCAGAGTAGGTCCGCACCTTCCGCCCTGCATGGAACGCAAGTGGAGTTCCCTCCTCAACTGCGCCGAAAAAACAGTAAGCTCCCTGTGCCCCCCGGCCCGGTGGGAGGGGCTGGGGTGCACGGATAGAGAAAGGTGGAGGACCGTGCTCAGTGCCATCGCCTGGGGCGCCTCCATGCTCCAGCTGGAAAGGCAGGGCAGGCAGGTGTTCGCGAGAGCCTATCTATCCGACAGGCCAGTCATACCCTTTGAGACGTACTGGGCACAGAATCCGCCGGCTGGCACCAGGAACTCTGCGGGCAGGAAAATTATGTTTCAGAATGCCGCCCTCACAGCGGACGCCGCTTGTGCGATCTTGCAGTCCACAGCAAGAGAAGTCCCTGGATGCGAAGGCCCGGTATACCCCTTCCAGCCTCTAACCGACGAGGCCCTCGACATCATCCTCTCCGTGTCCATGGGGGGCTCACCAGGTCCCAGCACCAGCAAGCTTAGGGCCGTTGACTCAACCTGGCTCAACCTCAGGGGCGGGACACCTCACGACAACCCCACTCAGCGGCCAGTGCTCGGAGCGGAAGCGGGGCAGCCCCGAACCCCCCCCCCATAAAACCTCACAGCGAGAAGGCACAGAGACGCGGCTCCGACCGGCAGGAGTGCCAGAGGAAGCGCCATCGCGGCACCCGGTGCAGCGGAGCCACCTCTGTTCCAGCCAAGGAGAATCGGGTCAACCATCCCAATTCGCCAACCAAAATATTGTTCCACCCTACACCACTGTGGTGGAGGTGGTCAAGCGGCAGACGGAGTCCTGGTGGCTCTTGCGTAAGGAGCCTGAGCAAGTAGCGAAGGCGGGCAATGCATAGCACGTGCTGTGCATCAAGCCTGGCCGCCTTGTGAAACACAGCACCAAGAGATATCTGTTCTGCTGATGGATGAAAGAGACCCCTCCTCTCCAGAAACCTCCCTCCCCGGAGATCGCTGGACAAGTGGGAGGGCGCGAGCCAGGGCGGGTTGGTCGGGGAGGAAGAGAGGAGCGGGAGGAGGGATGGGATTGTGGGGCCAGGATGTCCGCGGTTCGGGTCGGTTCGCGTGCTTGGCAGGTGAATGCGATCGGTCGGTTCGGTCCACGGTCGATTGTTGCGTCGTTCCCGACCGCTTCTGGCATATTCAGTTCCGGCTGGATTCGGTTGCGTTGCCGGTTCGAGGGTTTACGGTCGCGCTGTCGCCGTTGACGGCCGTGAAAATGAGGGAGGGCGGGGGGGGGGGCGGGGGAGCGGGAGGATGAAGCAAGGCCGTACCGTTTTAACCATTCCCTATCCCCATCTCCATTCCCATCCCGATCGCCACCACCCCACCACCCCAGCTGGGGATAAGTCCCTCGAAACCCGAAGGGAACAGCCTATATCCCCAGCTAGGAGGCGTAAATCGCCCAGTGGGCCCCACGCCAGTGGGGACAGGGATCGGTCAAACAATGCTCAAGCAGGGCAGCACCTGGTGTTCCAGAGGTACCGCTGGCCGCGTTCGACCCCGGCCGGTTCGCCCTGAAGAAGCCCAAGCGGGGCCGCCACATGCAGGAGCAGCCCGTGGGAGAGCAGTGGTGAGCGGGGGGCGGCACGGAGCCCCCCTCGCAACGGCCCCGTTCCCGCGGCCACTTGAGCGACGCCAGGAAAACGAGCTCGTCTGCGCTGCCATCGGCGCGTAAGCTGCCCACGTAAGGTCGCGCGTAAGCTCTAGGCCTCCTAGATGGGGTCCGAGTGAACGGTGTCGGAGGATCACGCCGCATCGCCGATGCATCTGCGATGCATCAGCGATGCGGCTCGATGTGGAGCCCGATTTTCCCCACGCTGGCGTCGCCAGTGCATCGCCGACGTCGCCGATGCATTGCCGATGCATCGCCGATGCATCGTCGATGTATCGGCGATGCGGCGCGATCCTCCGACCCCACCTACTCCATCGAAGAGGCCTCTATAAGCGCTCTCGTCTCCAATGTAGCGTGCCGCGCTGGCGGTCCACAGAAGCCGAAGCGTAAGACCGCTACGTCATCTCGCGTCAGAACCCTTATTTGTCGTCGCTCATGTGTGATAAAGGTCAGCAGCGAGAGCGCAGTGCCTCGTCAAGGCGGCCCTCGCATGTTTGGCCTCTTTTCGAAGGGGGAAACGGCATGCACAAACTGGTGGAGTTCTGCGAGGACCGTCGAAAGTGTATGTGCATGCCTTGCGTTCTTCCTATATCCTTGGACCATTTCGGCCACGGGCCTCTGTTATCCTCCCCCTTATCGGCCTTTCACAGAGCGAAATAATAACGTGCACGCACGCAAATCGAATAGCTAGCAATGGCATAACAAAATCAATTATCTGAGGTCCGCGCGGATTCCTTGTTTCGGAGTTGGGCCCTCCTGGCGCGCTTCGCGCGTAAGGGAAGGGGCGTTCAACGCCGATCCAATAAATCCGCGCGGGTCTCCGATAAATGTATGTTTATGCCGTGTCTTGCTATTCTAATGCAATTTCGGAGGTCCGCCCGGGTTTTTTGGGTCGGCGCCAGGGGAGGTGGTCCAGAGCCATCCCAAGACGTCCACGAGGACCTCAGGAAGCGTATGAGTATGCAAGTGTTCGTTGTTTTGGCCTGCTCCTCTTCCTGTTTGCCTAAGCAGCGAATGTTCAGTTCTTGCTAGGCAGCAAGGTGTCAGAACCCAGACTGCTAAACAAATTGTCGCCCGAGTGCCGTGCCGTACCGAGCCTGCGCCGTGCCTAAACCCCAGAAATCCGGAACATGTGCCGTGCCGTGCCGTGCCCACGCCCTGCTCAAAACCCAGGGTGCGCAAGAGTTGCCGCCCGCGTGCCGTGCCGTGGCCGTTTCGAGCCCGCACCGTGCCTGAAGCCCCGGACACTGAATGCGCCCTGCTGCGCCGTGCCCGTTCCGTGCGTCGGTCTCGGACACCACGCGTCTGCTCGTGCAGCGCTGATGCTTAGGGTGTCTACGCCAGTCCATCCGGGCCCCGGCGCTGCCGACAGACTGCCTCAAACTAGACGCACTGGGCCTAGACCGTAATGGCAGGCACGTCGGCGATGCGGCGCGGTATTCCGACCCCACGTGGGCGGCCCGTCGTCGCCCGGCACGACGGAGAGAGATCGTGCGGGAGCCGGGTCCTGATCCCCGTGGCTTTCCCCACGGCCAAGGCTCCATCGGGAACCGCCGTCTGACGGCCGATGGGGCCCGGGAGGGCCCCCAGACAGCTCCCTGGGCTTTCCCTCGCGGGCTCTGCAACGGAGAAGCAAGTCCAGGACCCGTTTCTTCAGAGTAGGTGTCGCTGGCCCCCGAGCTTGATGTCAGCCCGTTGCGGGAGCGCTCGTCGCGGCCACCCGCGGTGCGTCGTTCCGCGCGCCTCCGCCGACGTTGTGATGAAAGAGGCTTGCACAGTTCCGCCAGCCCCTAGCAAAACGTGTGCGGTGTGCGGCTTCCGATTGTGTGTCTGTTGTTGGCCGATTCCGATTCCGTTCGTGCCGCCCATGCGTGTGAGTGTCACTGATTGTGAAGGCCCTGCAGCCAGTGCCGCCGACCTTGAGGAGGAGGAGGAGAAGGAGGAGGAGGAGGAGGAGGAGGAGGGGGAGGGGGAGGAGGAGGAGGAGGAGGAGGAGGAGGAGGAGGAGGAGCAGGAGGAGGAGGAGGAGGAGGAGGACGCGGTGGAGCAGCAGGAGGGGGAGGAGGAGGAAGCGGAGGAGGATGAGGAGGGGGAGCAGGGTCAGGGGGAGGACGGGAGGTTGAAGGAGCAGTAGGAGGTCGAGGAGAATGGGAGTCGGAGGATCAGGAGAAGAAGGAGGACGCCGCAGGAGGAGGAGGAGGAGGAGGAGGAGGAGGAGGAGGATAGGAAGGACTAGGTCGAGGAAGAATGCGAAGCGCCTGGGGAAAGTCACGCGTGGCAGGGGGGGAGCATGATGAGGAGGATGATCAGGAGGATGAGGATGATGAGGAGGAAGATGCGAAGGAGGTGGATGAGGAGGATGGAAAGAATGAGGAGGAGGAGGAGGAGGAGGAGGAGGAGGAAGAGCAGGGGGAGCAGGATGGGGAGGACGCCGTGGAGCAGGAGGGGGATGATGAGGAAGAGCATACGGAGGAGGATGAGGAGGGGGAGTTGGGGTAAAAGGAGGTCGAGAAGGGCAATGAGCAAATGAGCAGGTGGAGGACGATGAAGACGAGGCAGAGGAACATGAGGAGAAGGGTGAGGAGCAGGGAGAGGAGGGGATGCTTGTCGGGGTCTCTTCGGAGCGCTTTCGGGGGCCTCTGGTGGGCAGTTTGGGGGCGTTGTGGGAGACTCATGGGGAGCCTCTTGGGGGCCTCTTGGGGGCCTGCGGGGGAGGGCTTCGGGGCGTCTTCGAGGCCTCTTGGGGCATCCTGAGAGCTACTCGGAAGCGAGGGCTCGCAATGTCCGTTCAGGTCTCTCGTTTGGGCACCCTCCTGGAGCCGGCTTGGGTGCCACTTGGCCTGTCTTGGGGGCATCTCGGGCCGTCTTGGGGCCCTCTTGGGCCATGTTGGGAACCTTTTCGAGTACTTTGGGCCGTTTTGGGGCGATTTTGGGGTGCCTGTCGGGCCGCATTGGAGCGTCGGGAAGCGGAAGAGGCGAGAACGCCAAAATCTTTCAAACACCAAAGGGAAATGAATGAATGGTGCCTCTTGGGGCTTTCTTGGGGATGCTCCTGGAAGCCTCTTGGGGCGTTTTGCAGGCCTCATGGGCCTTCAGGGTGCCGTGAAGGTGTCTTCAACAGATCGTTCGGCGATGCGGGGCCATTTTGGACCGTCTTGAGGGCCTCTTCGGGCACTCATGGCCTGTCCTGGGTTGTTTTTGGGACCCGGGACCTCCCAGGAGGGATGCGTAAATGAGTGGCGACCCCCCACGGGGCCCGAGTCGTATCTCCCCCGGGGCCACCCCCAGACCCCCCCCCCGACGGGGGAGGGATCAAAGGGAAGGGCTTCCCTTCGATTGAACTTCGACGTTTCTCTGTTTCGCTTTGGCTGGCGCGCTTGGGGAGGAGGGCCCTGCAAAAGGGGGGGTAGCGGTGATGGGCCCAGGGAAAGGGGGTCCACACGAAAAGGAGCGGCGGAGACGACGACTAACGAACGACGAAGAGGACGACTCGAACGGACAAGCCCCCTTTCACACACCAGGGCTGGACCTAAAGGGTGTTTTGGCGTTTTCGTGGGCCGTTTTCGGTGCGACTTCATTTTGCGGTAAAGGCGGATTGAAGATAAAACGAGTGAAAATAATAACAAAACGAACACGAAAAACACCGTTTAGGTCCAGCCTTGTCACACACGCCGACAGGGTCGGCGGATGTGTCCTCGTCTTCGTCCGCGTCTATTGCGGGACTGCTTGGGGGCCTTTGGGGCCGCCTCGTGGGAGCCTTCAGGGTTCCCAGGGGGTTCCTTGGAGCCCTCTCGAGGCTTCTTGGAGGGCCTCGAGGGGGCATGTCGGGGGTCTTGCGGCCACCTTGCGGGGGGAGGGGTTGGCGGTATCCCTGCGAGTTGTCCTTTTGGGGGGCCTCTAATGGGGCTCTCTTGAGGGCCTCTTTTAGCGTATTGGGGACTCTTGGACCGCCTTGGGGCCCTCTTGGAGTGTCCCTGGGCGGGCCATCGTGGGGGCTTCTTGGGCCGTGATGTGCTGGTCTGGCCAGAAGCCTGGAAAGGCGAGAGCGGGAAAATATCCATCAACAAACGTGATGATCAATGGTTGTTGCTTCTTGACGTCATCGTGGGGATTATCCATGGGGCCCTCTTGAGGCGTTCTTTGGGGCCTCGTCGGCCGTGTGGAGACCATCTTGCGTCTTCTTAGGCCGTTCGGGCGTGTTTGGGCCCTTCCTCAGCCGTCTTGGAAGGCATCTGGGGCATCTTGGAGGCCACGGGTGGTGGATATCAAGGTTCCAATGGCACCGCAGGTGCGGGGGGAAGTTCGTGGGGGTACCCCCCCGAAACTATCTTTTTGGGGGCCCTGGGGGAGGGGGGCCTGGGGGAGGGGAACAGCCAAATATCTTACACATGCCTTTCATCGAAGGAGCCAAAATCATCCCGACACCCATGATTGGCCTTTATTAAGCAGCCTTGAGAGTTTACTACACATACCTGCTTTGTTCGAGTCCCTCCTCCGGTGCGTTTAAACAGTTTCGCGTGTAGGAGTGGTCGGTATGACAGTGATTCTTGTGCCGTTACGTTCACCCCCGGCAAGCCGGGGCCTGTGGATGTCTAATCTTTCAAGCAGCCGGTCTCCAGCGACCCGCCGTGAGCGCCTTCACGGTCCGCCAAGCCTCGCCACTCCTCCCGCCTCCCCTGCTGCCTCCGCCGCCCCCTCTCTGCTTCCCCTCCTGTCCTCCTTTGCATGCGTTCGTGCACGATCCGAAAGGGATCGAGGTCACCCCCAGTGGCGCGAATATAACCACACACGCAACCACACACGCACACACACACACACACACACACACACACACACACACACACTACGCGCGTCGCCGCCAGGCCCGCCGACCTGGCCTTTTCCAAAGGCGGCGCGAGGGCGCGAAGGTATCCGCGCATTGCAGGGCGCAGGGCCCAAAGTCAGGTGATTTAAGGGATAGAGGGAAGTGGATGGGGGAGGAGTGGGGCCTGAGGAGGCGGCGGAGGGGGGGAGCAGAAGGAGCAGCGTAAGGGTTAGGGGGGGAGAGGGAAAGG